CCCCCCCCACTGCAAGGGTTAACTGCTCATTTTTGTCTGGGGTCAAAAATAAAGTTATACTCACCTGAACCTCTGAGCCGGCTTGTTCTCAGACTGGTCCTTCCATCCTCTCTCCCCCTCTGCTTCAGCAGTCTAAGGTCCCATAAATCATCACATTCGACACACTGTGTATAGGACATGAGGATGATGAGGAATTCCAATTCTGCAGTGGAGGAGGAGACAGTCTGGAAGGAGGGCTATAACAGCTGGCTGGCTTGGAACTTTGGGCGAGTATAACTGTTCTTTTTGAACCTAGACAAGAACAAGCACCTAACCCTTGCAGTGCTGGGATACCCCCACTGCAAGGGTTAATGATTTTTCCTGGACTTCTTTAAAAAGGAGAACTATGAGGCGAGTGCTTTTCACTCACCTCATAGTTCTACCCGACCTGTGACAATGAGACTGTCACAGGTCGGCTCAGTAGATCGGGAGGTGAGTGAACACATACCGGCGTTCGCTCACCTCTCGATCCCGTCACGGCAGAGGGCCGTGACAGGGGAGGGGCTGGATTCCCCCCTCCCCGATCCTCCAGCGCTGACTGGTGGAACGGATGGGGGAGGGGGCGGGTACAGCTGGCTCTGCCTCTACGTAGGCAGAGCCAGCTGTCACTCACGCAGCTGGGTGGATCCAGACATAATTGTCGGGATCCGTTTCAGCTGCGGCGTCTCAGTATACCGCGAGCAGCAGCGTATACTGAGCCTAGGGTGACAGGAGGACGCTAGTTTGTGTCCTCCCGTTACCCTAAGGAGAACTATGGGGAAAAGCCCTGAGCCCATAGTTCTCCTTTAACCCTTTGTTAGGACAGAAGGTGACCAAATCTTTTAAATTGTAAGCCCCCCACGGGCAGGGCCCTCCTTACCATCTTGTCTTGAATTGTATTGACTGTAATGTCTTCCTTATATGGTAAAGCGCTGCGCAAACTGTTGGCGCTATATAAACCCTGTATAATAAAATAGTTTACAGCAGATGGGACCTGCCAGCAAAGACAGGGTTAATTATTGTGAACCTTATCCTCCCCATCTCCCTGGCATTCCAAAGTTAGATTTAGTACAGAAAAAAACATTTTCTTCCAGAATTGAGCATGTTTTTATGTAAGCAGCAGTTATTTTTATGTTATGTGGATGGGCACATATAACAAGTGCAAAATATGTTTATGCAAATGTGGCAGTAAAAGGGGAAATAAAACTATAAAGAGAAAGTTGAGGAAATCGATGTGCTCATATTCCCTGTGAATCTGAAGCTGGCCATACACCTATAGATTATCTGCAGATTTCCTATGGTCAGATGGAAAAAGTGCCACAGATTCCTCCATCTACGCTAAACTGTGTGGATGGAGGAATCTCCCACTGGGCCAAGCTTCAGTATTGTGCTAGTCGGCACCCGCTGGCTCTCAAAATACCTGAACATTTCCGGCATCCAATCAGATTGTTCAGGTATTTTGACAGCCAGCGGGGCCGACTAGCAAGATACTGAAGCTTGGCCCAGTGGGAGATTCCTCCATCCACACAGCTTAACGTAGATGGAGGCATCTGTTGCACTTTTTCCATCTGACCATAGAAAATGTGCAGATAATCTATAGGTGTGTGGCCAGCTTTATGCACCAGATACTAAAACAACTTTTCTATCATAAATACTCTCTTTACTACAGACCACTTAGTCATTTATCTTACAATAAATTTGATCCTCCTTACTGTCAACATCTCTGGCTTCCTGCCAGTAAATTGACTATTAGTTCATTTCCTTCTTTCACAGGAATCTTGCTAGGAAACTTTGGCTTTATACCCCTTTCCTTCCATAAACTTTCTAACTAACGTTTTTCTGGTAGATTCTCATTCTACCTCCCATATTGCACAGCTCTCATCAACAGTTAGATTGTGAAGTGTTCCCGACATGTTTCACCTCATTGCGGCTTCATCAGGGGATATGATAAGAAATATGCATAGGTGCAGATGTAGCAGCAAAAAGTCTCCTCTCATGAAGGGCCCCTTTTATTTTCAGGATTTCCCTCAACATGTTGTGAATAAAAGGTGAAAGACCAGTTGTTACTACCGTATGCAGTTTACCAGAGAGGCATGATGGGAGTATATTATGACATCATCTACGCCCACATTCCAATATGGCACAAAGCCCCTATTATTGGGAATGCTTTTTTTGTGTGGGTGTGGAGGAGGGGGCTGTAGATTCACAGGTAAACAATATACATTTTTAATATTAAAGCCCAACTCTGGGCACAAGGAAAACTCACCAGAATGCCATTCCATTGGCATCAGAAACCTACCGAACTGCTGCGTTTATTTCACAGCTGTCAGATTTTCTTTTACATATGGGGGGGGGGGGGGTGTGGGGATATGCCATAGTGTGCATACCAGGAATAATGGGAAGGACAGTGCGTGTATACCAGGATTAATAGGATGGATGATGCGTGCGTGTTTGTATATACCAGGAATAATGGAAAGGAAGATGCGTGTATACCAGGAATAATAGAAAGGATGGTGCGTGTGTAGATACCAGGAAGGATGGTGCGTGTGTAGATACCAGGAAGGATGGTGTGTGTGTAGATACCAGGAAGGATGGTGTGTGTGTAGATACCAGGAAGGATAGGCTGGATCAGGTATATAGTACTCTATGAGTAAAGAACGTCATTATACATCTCAGTGTTCCTTAGAGCACAATACTGACACATAAGCCATGATTACCTTCCGTCACCACACGTCCAATCAGTGAGCAGATCCAGAGAGGAGGGGGCGGGGCCAATCCAGACTTCTACAGCCAAAGTCAAGATCTGCATAGGCCTCCATATTTGTAGAATGATGGACGTATCTGACAAGGGGATGGAATGAAACCTTTAATGTAATAATAAAATCTAAGCTCACATTCACCCGGCATGTCAGATTTATCCATCAATCAATAAATCTAGGGCTGGAATTCATGTCTCTGGGCCGAGCACACATACAGACAGTCTCCGGAAACCACTGCAGGTGGAGGGAAGATGATCACAGAAAGAAAAGGCTTGTAATGGTTAATCCTGAAAAAAATAACATTCCCATCTACAAGATTTCCGTGTGATTGGAACATTCTTAAAGGCCCAATCGATCGTGTGGTATTTGCTCAGCTGAGCGATCAGGCCCAGAGAACGATGTCTGCAGTGCAGGTGGGAGATGGCACAAGGACACGATGGAAATGACAGCAGACGACAGGGCGGCACCGGCCCGAGCACAGCAGGCCGGAGGGGTTTCCGTACTGCAGGATTAGGCCGAGTCAGTCGAGGATGACGGAGCGATATATATGGGGATGTAGAGAGAACACAGCAGGCCGCGGTGACCCACCCCGACCTATGACAACAATCCCTTCCCACCCTTCCGCCACAGCCCAGGCTTCCGCACCTGAGAATAGCGATCCGCTGACACGGCTTCCACACGCTCTCACACACACCCGGCAGGCTCAGCTTCCTCCCCGTCCCCTCTCCTGCGGGATTCAATGCCGTTCTACTTCCGTTCCAGTCGCCACTTCCGCTTCACGCAAGCCCCGCCCTCTCCTCAAAGCGGGACTGGCTGCATCCCAGGGGTGTAGAGCGGGGAGTGACTTCAATGTCACCATGGCAATCGGGGTGACGTCAGCGGTCTGTAGAAAGGAGCGGCGCTCAGGGTGGGGGCGGGGAAAGTGTCTGGGCGGCCTGATTGCCTCATAGTATGACATTATGAATGTCTGCCTGGTTACCCAGCTCTTCTTTATTGCCATAGCGCGGAATATTGATGCAAGCAATGCCATTTTTTTTTTTTTTGCAAATAAAAGACGTGTGATCGTAAACTGCGTCAAGTAATGGGGAAAAGGGTGAACTTTGAAATAAATATGGAACTGAAATATGTATGTCTAAAGTGAACCTGTCTAAACACACCTGAGGTTCCTTGTACGAATAGAGCTTTTAGGGCACGTTCACACCAGCCCAGTCTGCAGCCATGCAATAATGTGCTTTGCATTAGGGCAGTGTATTCATTTGAATGGGCTGTGCAATACACCACAATGGGCAGAGCATTTGCAGCATGCAGTGCCTTTAAGTTTCACTTCTGACAGGTTGCGCTATTAGCGAAGCAGGGAAGCCCAGATGTCAGGTGGACTGTAAAGGATCTCTGGTGGGCTCTGCAGGGTCTCAGGCTGAGACCACCATAGACCCTTCACAACCCACCATAGACCTTGCAAAGCCCACTTGAGTCCCTGCAGACCCCCACTATAGACCCGTGCAGAGCCCACCATTGACCCTGCACAGAGACTCTCAGGTGGGCCGTGCAGGGTCCCTTTCAAAAAGTGTCAACTAGAACTCTGCTCCTCTTACCTGCAGCTCCCCTACCTGCCTCCACCCAGATAGCAGCAATTGAGCTGCAAGTTTGAAAATGACTTGCTAAACTATTGCAGACTTGCCAAGCTTTACAATTTTGTTGCACAATTACAGCAAGTCTGCATTGCAAGTGTCCAGATCAATGAGCTTTGCAAAAGTGCTGTACACTCGCAGAGCTCTTGCTAAGACCTGCAGGACTCTTGCTGTAGACTTGCCAAGCAAATTTGCTACAAATTCAAAAAGTGTCAACTAGAACTTGTGCTGCGAGTGTTCTGCAAGTCTACAACTTGCCGGGAATATGTGCAGCAAGTTAACAAGAATTACAATTTAACCCTGGCACAAGTGGCAAGTTATCCTTGCTATCTGGGCAGGACATGTAGCTTCTTCCTCCAGCCTGGAGCCACCAGAAGCTTCTTCCTCCAGCCTGGAGCCGCCCAAAGCTTCTTCTTTCAGCCTGGAGCCACCCGAAGCTTCTTCCTCCAGCCTGGAGCCGCCGAAGCTTCTTCCTCCAGCCTGGAGCCGCCCGAAGCTTCTTCCTCCAGCCTCGCTGCCAGGCCCCACCAGCAGCCGCCTGATTAGGCAGCCGAGGCTGCCTGATTCTGTGCACTCGACTTGCCTCTCCAATTTCAGAAAGCCAGTTTTCACCGCCCCCCTGCAAAGTGCCGCCCAAGGCAAACGCCTTGTTCGCCTCATGGAAAATACGCCCCTGATGGCACGTTAGGTCATTGCCGCATATTGCTCTACAAAGGTCCTGCTAGGGTCGGAACGTGCCTTCTGGGCCCATGTCTCCTACCTCTCCTTTCGTCGGTCTCTGTGGCATTGGGAGTGTGGGAAGCCCGTAGCCCAAGTAGGGATGAGCTCACGTTGGGCCAGAACTTGAGTTTGTTGGAACCTAGAAGGAAGCTGTTGGTAGACTTTTCAGCTGTGGCGGGATACTGGTGACATCATCAACCTTATATGGTCATATTAGGTCAATGTCTTTGACCAAATGGAACCATGTAAGGTCAATGATGTCACCAACATCATGCCCGTTTGCAGGAATGCCCCAGCTGCGACTAACTGTGCAGACACTGACCACTTCCTTACAGGTTTCAACAACCTCAAGTTCTGATCCAACCTGAGCTCATAACTATTCCCGAGTCATGCGGGGCCCCATTTGTTTCCCCATTTTTTGGGCATTGGGGATCCCCTTAAAATGCCTACCAGACCTGAAGGGTGTGGTATTGATTGCCAGTAAACCGCATGCTGGTTTTTGTTTTGTTTTTATTTTTACATCAGAGGTCCCTCATAACATTCCTGCCAGGCCTAAAGGGTCTGGTATGAATTAGGGTGAGGGGGGTGGGCAAGCAGTTTTTTTTTTTTGTGTTGTCAGAAATGAAAAAGAAACAAAGTAAACATGTAATGTCACTTTTCTGTGCAATTAATTTTAGTTTGTAACGATCATGTAACTCATTCAAAATTAACGAAATTCTGATTTGGGCTCAGTTTCACCAATGACCCCTTCAGTCTTTCTGTCTCCAGGTGTGGAATCGGACACAGAAAAGTCTGGATTCCGTGGTCAGCATACATTCCAAATAAAGAGAGGGCTCTGCTGGTGGAGGACCCAGAGTCATTTGTCAGTGGGATTAGCTTGGACATTTCAGATGTTTAAGGTGCTGACCACGGATGCCAGCACCTGGGGTTGGGGTTCTCACCTTGAAGGTCAGATGGCACAAGGACAGTGGAGTCTGATGGAAGCAGATGCCTCTTCTATTTGGAGTGAACTCAAAGCAGTTTTTTATTCTCTGCACACATTTCAGGCACAGGTGAGAGGGGTTCATCTACAAGTTCTCTCAGACAACGCTACTGTAGTAGCCTACATAAACAAGCAGGGAGGGACTCGGAGTCCTCCTCTTCAATGTCTAGCAAGAGATATTTTTGCGTGGGCAGAGGTAAACATAGCTTCCCTGTCTGTGGTTCACCTAAAGCAGGGGTGGACAAACTCTGGCCCTCCAGCTGTGGTGAAACTACAAATCCCATGATGCATCTCTCTCCGGGAGTCATGTCTGTGAGAATCTTGCAATGCCTCATTGGATTTGTAGTTCCACCACAGCTGGAGGGCCGGAGTTTGGCCACCCCTGACCTAAAGGGTTCAATACCTGGCTCAGATCGAATACATTTTGGGAAAACCAGAGTTAGACTTGCCGCTAACTCTATTTCCAATAGTCTTCCAGGACAGCATGGTCTCCGCTCTTTGCTGGGGACTATTTTGAAATGTTTTTGATATGTTTGTTGCCTTCTTATGTAGTTTTCTTTAGTTCCGTGCTTTGGTTCTCTTATATATTGAAGAGCATCCTGTGAGGGCGGTCTTTTGAACTCTATGTTGGCGTGTTTCCTGCTTGAGGGGAGGTATTGCCACATCTAACCTGCTGTCCTGGAAGATTATTGGAAATAGAGTTACCGGTAAGTCTAACTTTGCTTTTCCGAAGATTCTTCCTTACAGTCTTAATGTTCCGGCTCCAACCTGTAGCTTCTACTTTAGACCCTGTTACCAGGTGTTTGGCTCATTAGTTTTTTCTGAATGATTTAAAACTGCAATATTTAGGCTTCCCTCCCTTGAGGATTTATGTCCTCTTATGTTGCCTAGACTCTGTCTTGGGGTATACTACCCCTTTGCTTACCTACACTCTTTTTTTGCTATGAAGTCTATTGATATGAGGATCATTGCACTTCTTGTGGTGCTTATCAATCGTAAGGCCTGCCTCCTTCAAGAGAGGCTTATCAACAAATATCAGTTTTCTGCTGCTTTTCTCTGAATGTGAAATTGATTGTATTGAGCTTTGAGCAGTCCAATAAAATATTAGAGTGTGACTTTATATTTGGCCAGGCAGTGTATCAGACAGGTTATATTTTGATTATAACACCTCTGCATAATTTATTGGTGGTTGTTGGAAGGTCCCCTTCTTATTCTTCTTTTTCTAAGGTCCCTGTTTGTCTTTTGCGTTACAATATATCCTAACTCAGCCTTCCCTTTTATATAGGTGTGTGGATCTCTCTACCATCTCCTTAAAAGGGACTTAGTACTCTACCGTTGTTGGTTTCACATTGAATGTCTCCTTAACCCTCTCCCTTTAGAATACTGTTGAGAAGACCATTTTATTATGGATCGTCCTCTCCCTGAAGTCAAGTGTTATGGGTGTTCTACTCCAACCCCCAGCTGTTTACTGGTTGATCCTTGATACCTTGTTTGTCCAACATTAATTTATCTCAGTTCATTGGTTTGTTGTCTTAGGCTTCAGTCTTTATCTTAGAAAAGAATCTTCTGTTGTTGACCATTTAAGCTGTTGTTTTTTTTCTATATGGTGTTTGATTGGCTGTCCTCCACATTCTTGTTGAGGTCGATCATTCTTTTAGATAGCAGTCTCCCCTTAGTGGTGCTACCTGTCCTCTACTGGAACAACAGATTTTCTTGGTGCATATCTTGTTAGTAGCAGTTTCCATATTTGCTTCCATTTGTTTTCATCAAGCTTTGATTCCCCCAGATATTCTTCTAAAAAGATTTTTACATCTGTTGGATTTCTCAGTGGCTGTTGCTCACCCTTCAGTTGGATTGCTTTTGGATATCACAAATGTCCAAGCATTACTACATTCCTGTCTCCCTCAATGGACGGTAAAGATAATAGGATTCTTGTACTTGTTCCAAAATGGCATACCGAGGCGATCCGGTACGGTTGGGCATATTTTCAGGGATGGACCTGGAGCAAGAGCTCCAGGTGTCCCTATGTTAAACTGGACCTGGGCTCACATGCCAGCAGAGAGGGCCCCCGCGTGCTATAGGTTCGCCACCACTGCCCTAAGGTTTGCTAGTGTCCAGACCTCCTGAAGGTGGCAGTATAACCCATATTTCAGGAATTACTACATTCCTGTGTCCCTCAATGGATGTGAACAACAAGCTTTTATGATAAGTACATAAATCTTATTTTTTTTAAATTTCCTAGTAGGAAGGGAAAATTATCTTTTGGCAGAAGTGACATACAAAATATCTACTGCCAAAAAATTTGGCTACTACCCCCACTTCAGTTCACTTTCCACTGAATATTAAATTTAAATCCAATGGAGGCTATTTATAAACAATTTGAAGGTCAATTTGCCTGACATTTTGCCCAAAATTCTGCAATATTTTTTGGCCAACGTTCAAACTCTTTATAAAGTTTAATTAGTGGA